CCCCCCCTCCCCGCGGCACCGGGGCGGGGAGGGGGTGGGGGAGCAGAGCGGAGGGCTCCGCCCCGCCTGGTTGGCTGGCGGGGGCGAGGCCGCGCCTGCGCGGGAAGGGCGGGAAAGGGGTGGGCCGCGCCCCTCCGCGCGCCGCCTCAGGGCTGAGAGGGCGCCGAGGCGGCGCGCGGCGGGGCCGGTTGCTCTGTCCGAAGGGGTTTCGGTGCCGTTTGTTCAATATCTGCGTTACCAAACTGCGGTTGTGAGGGGTGACCGGCGTCACCCGGGCCGCACGACAACTGTGGTCCCTCAGGGAGGGACCTGCTCCACCCGGCGCGCGAGAGCCAATCGACACGGCGCGTCCGCAGAGTTGTTTGTACTCCGGCTGGGCGGAACCGGGTGCCGGGCCTGCAGCTACAGCCGGTCCCGCCCCACAATGTTTATAACCATCAGCTGCAGCTGATTGGTCAATAATCGTTCGTTCAGCGCTCCAAACTATGCATATGCATCTAAGTTTGTGGTTTTGGGGACGTTACCTGATTAGTGTGTTCATTATTCACAGAAGTGTGCATTCTAGCATTGTAATTACCCAGGGGTCGTTCAGGATACACACCGGGCTCGAATTGGGTCCAGAAGTTACACCTTCACTATTTTACACCTAAATAACTCTACAGTAACACACGAGACACCTTGTTTTCCTTCACACCCTGCCCGAGGTTCGTTACCTTCCTTGATGCTTCACCCACGTCCCAAACAAAACTTCCTGATAAACTTTTAACTCTGTTCTTCAGGCATCGTAACGGCCCTACTCTGCCTATAGAAACCTTCAGCTTTCTGTCACAAATTTTACACACAGCTTAGGGAAGGTAGGGATTTGCGTTTTTCGCGCAGGACCGGCTTCAGCCGCCGCATCTGGCGGCCGGTCCCTGCCATCCCCGCGTAAGGGCGGGTGTGACGGCTTCCCCCGCTGAACCGCCTGAGCGGGGAGGGGCGGCGGGGGGGGGGCTAGGGATGGAAAAGCACAAATAGAAAGGGGGGGTGTGCGACAGTAAACTGAGAAATTCATCCCAAACCCTAACATAAGTGTAAGGATAAGCCTGTCGACAAGCAAGAAATGAAACGTTTTGTCTGAACCGCTCACGTTTTCATCTTTACCGGAGGGTTTTCCTTTACGCTTGAATCGTGAAGGTCGGCGGAGCGGGCTGAAAATTAAGAAATCCCCGTTCAGCGGAGACGCCGGGGCCTGCCCGGCTCTGCCACCGGCGCACCGCCATTACACCGGCACCGACCGGCCAGG